AACAGCAGCACCTCAGCATGTGGTGCCAGGCCCAAGTCCAACTGTCTCACATCACACGAGAATACAGTCCGTTTCTTACCGGCACTCAGCAGCAACAAGGTTAAGTCGCGCTTTAGCGGGATTCGCCTCCCTCGTGCCACTCCGGCACTCAGGATTCCCTACAAGGTGTTCCAGGGCTCGAAGCCTATGCACTGTACCGGCTCATTCCCCGTGCTGCTCCAGGGCTCACAGCCCACGCACCGTACAGGCATACTCTCCGGGCTACTCCAGAACACGGAGCTCACATGGTGTTCGGCTCATTCGCCCAGCTCGCACTCCAGGACCTGCTGCTGCTGTTACTTGCTTCCACTGCTGAGGGGAGATGTTGGGAGGGAAGAAGAAAAAAGAAAAGAAAGAAAAAGAACAGGCAGAGCAGAGGAGCTCTGGTAGGAGTCTCCTACCCTACCGTCATCTTGACCAGTGCAAAATTTGGTGTCAGATGTCATTGACTCTTCAAGGTCACTTTGTAGTCTCAGTTTGTTCCATTGAAATACCTTATTTGGCAATTCTGCAGGCCATTGTATTGCCCCCATATTATCCATAGCTGCTGTGGACACATCAGTCTGCTTGAATCAGTTCTTTGCTCAACTAGATTATAAAGAGGAAAGAACTTATACTCACAGAAACAACTTCAGAATCTGGAACTTCACACTTGTTCCTAGATGGTGGGAAAGCTGTAATGCTGCTGCATTATTTTCCAACATGATATCTACATTTTTAAAAGGCAATCAGGGAACAAGTCCAAACTTGGAAGTTTTTTTAAATTCATTAATGGGATGAGGGCATCACTGACCATGCAGCATTTATTGCCCATCCCTAATTGCCCAGAGGGCAGTTAAGAATCAACCACATTGCTGTGGGTCTTGAGTCACATGTAGGCCAGACCACGTAAGGATGGCAGTTTCCTTCACTAAAGGACAGTAGTGAACCAGATACTATTTTTATTTTCTTGACAATCAACAATGGATTCATGGTCACCATTAGATTCTTAATTCCAGAGATTCATTGAATTCAAATTCCACCATCTCCCAAGGTGGGATTCAAACCCACCTCCCGAGAACATTATCTGGGTCTCTAGATTAACAGTCCAGTGATAATACCACTAGGCCATCACCTCCCCCTGATCAGAACACAATTTAAATTTACTTTATTTAGTGGGAAAGGCATGCAGTTCTCATCAACAACTCGTAATAATATATTTTGATTTAGCGCACGTTCTGAAGCCAAGTCTAAATCTTTTGCTAATAGTATGCTTTGAGCTGAACCAGTATTGCCTAGGATATCAAGTTTTTCAGACTCTTACTTGGAGAAAAATTGAGTGACGTCTCCTTCAAATAATATATAACCTTTTGCATCCCCATCAGCGCCCTTTGTAAAAACATTAGACACAGTGGGTTTCTTCTAGGCTTCACTTTCTGATACAGCTTTAACTATGGAAATTCCTGTTATATGGACCAGCGACACTAGTTTAAAATCCATTTTCTTCATTGGTACTGTCTTTTCTGATCACTGCTTAAGTGTTCCTATTACTTATGCCAATTCACTAACACATTTTCAACACTTTCCTTTGCATAGTTAGTCACATGGAAGTGAAGGCATACTGGTTTCCTAACATCACTTTTATTCACGATACTATAATATTTATTGACTTGAACAACTAACTACTCCCTAAAGTCAGCTTCTTGTCCCACACCTCCAACTACCCTTTTGGTTTTCATATGACTGCTGACTAACACTAATCTGTCTTTGAGAAATATATGCATCCACTAGAGTGGCTGCCTCTTTGAATTTAGATACCTCACGCTCATCCAAGTACGACTGAATTATTAATTGAATGCTATTCTTGAATTCTTGCATAATTATGAATTTTCAAAGAGTTGACCAAAACCATCAATCCCCCAAACATTTCTTTTCTCCTAATAAATTACGTCTGAACATCCTAAATATTAATTGGTAAGCTTCACCTACAAGCTCATAAATGTTAAGTAAGGTGGTTTTAACTGACTCATAATCTGAAGATTGTTCTTCGAAAAGGAAATAAACACCAATTGCTTTATAAGTTAGGTCACTTTATAACATAAGAGTCTATGAGACCTTTGGCTACTTCATTTTTTTTAATAACTTTCTCAAATGATATGAAATAGATTTCTATCATTTCTTCCATAAATTTAGGAACTGAATGAAGATTTTTGGTTAAATCAAACTTACAAATGGGACTCAAATACTAGATTCTCTTTCTGCTTGTAATTATCCATGAACTTATCCAGTTCAAGTTTTTGGATTTATTTCTCTCTTTGAAGTTCTCTCTCTGTTTTGTTATTTTTTATTTTTACTTGCTGATATCCTTCTCTGGAGTTCATGTTAAAACATTTATCTTTGTCTTTCAAGTTTTCTCATTTCTTTTGCCTTTTCTATTTAATCTGCTTTATCTGCATAGAATTCTAGCCAACTCAAGCTGTTTTCCAACTGGATTAGAATCCTCTTCTTCCAGTCCCAGGTGCTGAACGATTACCTCAACAACTTTTTTCTTTCATGGTCCCTGCTTTTAACTCTAACTCCAACTTTTCTACTATTAAACAGGCTTTGGTTAAATTTTGAAAATTACACAGATATCATGAATTTTGTCTTTCCAGGAAAGCCCTAGCAATCAACAAAGCCCTAAAATAAAAGAACTGTGGATGCTGGAGATCTAAAAGAAACAAAACAGAAATTGACGGAGAAATTCAGCAGGTCTGGCAGCATCTGTGAAGAGAAAACAAAATTAATGTTTTGAATCCTGTGACTCTTCTTCAGAATTAGAAGCAACTGGAAAAAGGTGGTAAATAAGCTGATGATTAGATGGGTGGGGCAATAGGTAGAGAGAGTGGGAGCCCAGAGACAGAGGAAAAAGGATATGCAGGCAAAGAGATTGTTGTTAGTAGGTTTAAGATGATGATGGTTGTTGGGGGGTGGGGAGGGTGGGAGTAAGTGAACAGGTGGAAAGGGAACCCAATCCCTCGGTCTGTCTATCCTTTTTTAGGAATTAAGAGATTAGGAAGCCAGCAGTGGTGTAAATCCCAGAACTCTTTGTATCTATTTCAAAGGTTATATCCAGGCTTCCTCTGGCAACCTCGTCAACATTGACCTGCTTGATGGCGCTGCACACTCCAAGACATGTAGGTGGTGTCCCTTATTGCGGCTTACAAGAAAGCGATGTGAAAAAAGGAGTGTTCACTTTGACAACTACTACCAAGACGTGGTCCTCTGATCCAAATGTTTCCACTACAAAGGCTGGATACCTAAGCAATAGCCTGCCTGATGAAGCACCACCTCCTTAGCGATCTTGGGCTGGACAGGTCTTCGTATATCAATTCCGCTGACCTGATAGGTTCTAATAAGCCTACTTGCTGGTTGTTGAGAACTGTTGATAAAGTTACTCCTCATCTGCGAACAGTTCATACATCCAATAATGTGAAGGAAAAACAGCACTCCATGATATACACAATGAACATTTAATTAGAGTAAGTAAAGGAAAAAAAGTCAGGTGAACATAAACTCGAACTTCAGCTAGGAATTTTAGATTAGATGCCAGGACGTGTGAATTAAAGAAGGAAAAAGTGCCACATGTTGAGAATCCAATGTGGGCTTCCACATTAGCTGTGATTTGAGATACTTAGGAAGCTCCAGGGGATAAGTGAGTCTCAATTTAAATACTCAAAGAGGGAATCATCTGAAACTTCAACCCTGCATTCTAGCTTCAACTCTATGTTCATGGAATTCCCAGGTTTTCTGAATCTTTCCAGGGTCTTTAGGCAAGAAGACAATTGGCATTAAAAGACACCTCCTCAAATGCAATACAGCCAGATACCTTTGCCCTCCTCCTACTGCCACCAGGCAGTCACAGAAGATGGAGGATTTGCCCTTTTACCTCCTGCCTCCTCACTGTCCAGGTGAAGCAGCAAATTACTTAACTCTTTTCAACCTAGTCTGCTGTATTCACTGCTCACAATGTGGTCTCCTTCAAATTGACAAGACCAAAAGCAGATTAGGTGACTGCTTTACAGAACACCTCCGCTCTTGCTATAAGAATGACCCTTAATTTCCTATTGCTTGCCATTTTAATATGCCATCTTGCTCTCATGCTAACATCTTTATCTTAGACCTGTTGCAGTGCTCTAACAAAGCCCAATGCAAGAGGGGAACAGCATCTCATTTGCTGCACAGGCAGTTTATGGGATTCACAACTCAATGGTGAGTTCAACAACTTTACTATGAACACTGTCTTCCATATTTATTAATGATGCATTGACATTTTTAGAGAATTTGATGCTAACATGCTTTTAAACATGCAAGAGATTTATCTGCTGAAACTATAACTACAACTTCCTTTTTTTTCCACATGATTATATTCCTGTGGCTTTAGCACTGCTAGAAGCAGGCAGCTTGTTCACCTTTTTGACAACTAAAATGCTGATGGCTAATATCCTCTCAATTCTGGTGAATGAGAGGGCCCAATGACTGCCCCATATAAAATCAATGTTGATAGTCTGTTTCATGTGAAAGTGTACTTATCTAATTCTGTCATCAAGTCTCTTGGAGATCACATCTCTTTATCTCCAATAGCCATTCACTCCAGTAGTCTGTTGCTTTCTGGAGTTTCGTTTCCCGTGATGGTCAGAGGAAATATAATTGAAGGGTCCCCCAGTATGCTGCTTCCATGTTTTCTGTGATTTCTTCGACTGCAAGGAAAGTTGTGAATGTACCCTACCCCACCCCACCCCATCCCATCCCACTCCACCCCACCCCACCCTGGGAAACCCTCCAGCACCAGCCTTTGGGCCTTAGGCTGAAATAAAAATATACCATCTGAATTATATCATTTTCCTATACTGCAGCTGATAAATGTATTTTGTAATAGTTTATTAATCTTGTATTCTAACACCAATTCAGGTAATTTTTTTTTTACATTTCACAGACCTCACCTGCCAGTAAAGCTTGACGTGTTTGCTAATGTTCTGCTCCTTTGCTCCATGCAGCCAATAAATGTAGTCAGCAATCATAGCACTTCTAATAATAAAACAGAATACACAAACAAAATAAATACTACAGATGTTTTTGTGGTTTTTGAGGATGGTCTGACCTTTGCTTGCTATATACATATTCATACTAAATTCGCAGCAGCCCAAATTTCTCTGTCAATTAAAAGATATAAGCAGTTGTGAACATACGACAAAGTAGTATAATCTAAAACAATCAAAATATTGGTTGCCAATAAAATTTTTACGGGGTCTCGATTGTTAATGCCAAGCAGGGTTACTACACATTTTCATGAATATGTTGAAAGGCATTGTAATCATTTAAAATCCAGTTAAAATCTGTTTCAGCTATTTGCAGGAGTTTTGGAAGTATCATGTGGAAGACTTGGAATTTGGTGATGGGCATTGCAAAATACACATTCTGAGACTGAAATGTGGCCTAAAAGATATGGTGCTGCTTGTGCAGGGGTGGACATAGAGTTGGTCGGGTGGAGAATAAATCTGATTTTTTTTTGCACATTTTTTAAATGTGAAATTGAAAAAAATATTCCGACTGCTCTTGGCTCCATATTCAGGTAAGTAAATTTCAAAACATTTCAGTGGTAGACCAGTAGAAAGTCTGGTTTTACTCAGCACAGTAATGCCATCATATTTCCTCAAGGCAAACTAATCTTGCACTGGAAACATCAAACAGGTATGAGGCTCCTTAGTTGTATATGTAAAAGGGCCTAACACCTGTTTCAGGTCTGTCTCAAAGCCAATTCTTTCCTTCACTAATATGTGGATGTGCACTTATGGATGGAAAGGTGCATGAACTTCTAGCTATCCATGTTCTGGCTGTGTAGACAGCTCACAAGAAAAGGATATTTTGGAGTGAAATTTATAGGCTGAGGTCTTGAAAGTGGTGGGATATGAGCTAACAAGACAAAAGAATTTCTCATCCTGTTGTCTAACCTTGCAGCATCTTGTTCTGGCACAGACATACATATTTCTAATCATGAAGTCTAACTTTTGGTTTTTTTCAGCTTATTGTTACTGTCAAGCACCAAATATCACTATTAATCTACAATACTAGTTCTTTCCTTATTTATTAACCAAAATAGTCCGTCACAGTGTATTTGCAGTACAAGATAGAAATGATAATGCATTGGAGGACATGGGTTACTGCAGGAAGGAGGTTCATCGATGGTCATAATCATCCTAGACTAGGGAGGGGGGACAGTGCAGCACATTGGTTTGACTAAGCTGTAGTGCTGGGATTCAAGGAGTAATGTTGGCACAGGTGGTTGTAACAAAGGAGTGTGTGAAGATGTGTGGAAGCACAATATTGATGAGCTTGATATGGAGTGCCAGGAAAAGAAAGGCACATGGAGGTTTGGTAGAGAGGGACCTGATTACCAGGTTGAGCCTGCAACTCTCAGTACAGGTTAAAGTAATCTGTAATCATAATACCTTGAATGGGAAATGCACCGTGTCCAACTGTATGGGATACAAATCCTGGTCACAGGCAATCTTGGCCACGTCTTTGGTCATTACGAATTGATCACAGTCATCATAAGCAAAAGTCATCACAGCTGATTAACTTAAAAAGTGAAACTTGTGGGGCCCTATTCACAAAGTCAATTTAAGATCTCAAAGGCTACAAAAAGCATGGTGCTGATTTCTTCCCACCTTGAACTGTAAGTGTATTCCAATATATTCTTATATGCAATACTGCCTTTTTTGGGTGATGTGGAGGGTGAGGGTGGGGGAACAAGATCTCAATAATCATACAGCACTACAATTTCCTACTGTATTTGCACGACCTATGCCCAAGATCAAGGTGAAGGTATTCCAAAGCCCTCCTTTTGAGAGTTCTTCATGTCCCACTGGAGGAGTATGCTAAATCATTATTTGTGATGCCAATGCTGACTGCTCACAATATTAAGGACCAAATCTGTTTTTGATACTTGCTATACAGGGTCATAGGAACCATGACCAATGGATCCAATGGGGTCTTTGTCTCTGAGGTGTTTTGAAAGTGCAGAGAAACTGAAGAGGAACAAATGCATCAGTAAGCCGAAGACCAGCAGCAACCCAAAAAGCCCAGAAATGAATAAATCGCAGGTAAAGGCCCCCTCTTAATGCACAGGCAGTACATTTTCCCAAGTCTATCAATTGTGATGCTATTTTTTCTAGACCACTAAGGCACAGTGTTACTGCTGACAGTGGATGTCCCAGAACACTGCCACAGAACTATATCAACTGCTGGAGAAACACCTCTAAGCATTATATCCTGTTAACTGTCAAGGTGATTGCTAAACTAAATACTTCTGCAACTGGCAGCTTTCTTGATCCACTGTGGACCCATATGGGATCTCACAAGCCTGAACCCAGAAGTACATCAAGGCTATTACCAAAGCCATTTGAGACATATCAATTGCTACACCTCATTTTCTCATGATGACATCGGTGCTGCAGCTTGAGCTGTAGGCTTTGCCAAGATAGCTGCTCCCCTGAAATACAAGCTGCCATAGGATTTTCACATGTCACATTGAGACTGCCATATCATAATGTGACTGATTTCATCTACAGAAAAGGGGACCACTCCATCAACGTACAAGTCATCTGTAACCATCAGTACCACATTCTAGAAGTAAATGCCAAGTATCCTGAGAATTGCCACGAAGCCGATATCCTTAAGAACTCCCATGTTCCTGCCCTGTTTCAAGGCTGGATGCTTTATAAGGATGGTTACTGGGAGACAAGGGCTACCCTCTGGAACCATAGCTGATGATTTCATTGCAGCTCATTCTTCAACCAGGGCCATCAAGGAGCAGGTGATAGCTCTGCTGAAGATGAAGTTCTGATGCTTGGATCAGAGAGGGCAGGACTGGGGTGAAGTGGCCTTGCAGTACAGTCCAGATGGAATGTGCTGCATGAGCCTAGTACGTTGTGGTCTGCCTAATGAGGGCAGGCAATGAAGGAATATGATAGACGCTGAAGAGATGGGAAAGCAGAAACAATCTTCTGAGGAGGAAGATGAGGACATTGAGCAGGAGGAACATTACTTTCAGCATAATACAGTGCTGCAGCTTCAGCTGCAACAAGCCAGATAGGACAATTTAACACCTGGTTTAAATAGATGTGCATCCTATGCAGTGATCACCCATTGACCATAAATTTGATGTTGATTGAAAAAGACATAATCACGTAATTTATTGTTTTCACATTGCTAATGCCAATTCTTTTAGGTTAACATGAACCATCCTTTGAATCATAATTACCTTAGGGCACTAACTAGTTCTTGAAGCTCAGAATTTTCCATTTACTTAACACTTAAAAATTAAATGCCCCAAACTAGAAGTTATACTCATAAAACATATGCATCATAAAAACAGCTATTCATAGCAACATGAATTATTGACAGATGATCTCAACAAAGAGTGTAAAACGATAAAATGATGCATTAGTACATATAAACAATTCCCTCTGGAGGAGAAACATTGGATCTAATCACATTAATCATGAAAATGTTGACTTTCCATGCACCTCAGCTACAAACCATCTTAAAACATAAATGTTCTATTATTAGAAACTCTATTGTCAAGTTTAAACTTGTTACTTTATGTTGTTTCTGTTCAATGTTAAAAAAAAGCCCTTAAAAATAAAACTTATTTCAAACTTTACTCCAATAGATTCGCTGTTTCACATTTGTGGAAGTTTCCCTACCTTGCAGCTTCAGTATATCGTTCCAAACAACGGAAGACCGTGGCTTGACGAAGATGATTACGGAAGTTAATTGGATTCAGTAATATGCTCCTTAGGAATTATAAAACAAATGATGAATCAGACTAACGGCCTACGTGTAGTTTTTACTGTGTGTGTTTTGACATGATAATTGGTCAAATATTTAAATCGTAAGTGTGCTGAAAAATTCCAAATATGGATACATCCAGGTTTGTTCCTGTCAGTTTCCATTACACCAAAGAAGGTTTCACACAATCACCTCATAGAGAAGCAGTGATCTCATTCCTTAACTTGAGTGTAGAAAATTGCGGTAGTAGTGCTTTCAATGCAGTTGTTTTTCCTGAGAGAGAAATATTTGATACTGAAGAGAGCTTAAATTTAGTGGTGAATATCATGTTGAAAGAGCCGCATGTTTTTTCAGCAGAGTTTCTGCATCATACTGTAAAAGGTCATTTGTTTGTTTGGAGAGATATGGGCAGGTGGGACCAGTTTAGTTCAGATTATGGTCAGCGTGGACTGGTTGGATCGAAGGGTCTGTTTCTGAGCTGTATGATTCTATGACTCAGCAGCATTCACCATAATGATGTTATGGATTTATCTATGATATGGTATTACTATTGAAATTTTGTAGAATTAATAGAACCGAACACTGGCTCCAGTAAGGAAGACACCTTTAAGTTGCTTTAGGCGTCTGAATCTGGCAATACATGGCAATTCTACTTCCTCATAGGGGTAAGTTATAGAATTTTGGCAAGAATATAATTAATTCAAAGTAAATGAAGTTGGCCCAAGGCATTTTGTGGTGTTTTGCATCAGGTCAATCAGACCAATGAAAATCTACATTATGGGGTGCGTGTACAGAATATATTTGACAATCTGGGTAAATCACACAATGTTATTTATAGATCAATGTCCACTATCAATTATGCTAAGACTGATGAGTCTGTATTTTTCAAATATAAAACTTACGTATAAGTGCTTACCTGGGTAAATTGCATCAGGGACAATTAGGCAGAGAAAACCATATTCATAAGAATTTTTTTTATTTATTAATTTAAATTAACATTAAACTATTAATGCTCACAATCTGCCTCATTCAATTTCCCTCAATGTAGTCTACTCCATTGATGCTTTAAATCCAAATGGTACAATACCCTTATTGCCAATAGGGAATGGATACTATCAGCGTAAGGAGGAGTCAATTACACTCTAAAGTTGGGAGGGCATTCTGTCCTATTACTTTATTTTAAAATGCACCAAAGTATTTTTTTACAGTTGATTTGGCACGTAATGAATTCAATATTAAATTCACAATTATTTATTTATTTAGTTAGTTATTTGGATTAATGCTAAAATGTAAAATATAAATACAAATACAGGTGTTTTGAGTTTTGCTGAAAAAAAAAGACATTTTCTCTTGCTCTCATTAGCTTAATTTGCAAGAATCACCAAAGGAAAGGAAAACAACCCTCATAGTATGTTGGAGGAGGGTACTAATCGATTGCAAGTGTGAATGGTAGAGGCATTGCTAGAGAAAATGAAACAGTTAATAAGGACTGAAAGTTAACTACTAAGTTTAATTTACGTTTGATTCCAGGAAGGTTCACAGTGACTGGTCAAGGCATTGTTCTGAGAAATGAACCATAAAAAGGCTTTCACCATTTTTGTTCATCTTTTGCCTATTGTACAAATGAGTAATGTGATATGTGAATTTCAGTGCTGGAATGATGATTAGTATGTAGGCCATATGTACTAAAGACTGGCAGATCACATCCATCAGCACATCCTGCCTATTTGCAAAAAGCAAATATTAATTATACCTAACCAGTCAGTACTTGCAAAACTCACAAATCAGCATCCAACATTGGGGTGATTCTGCAACTGATCAATATTTACTGAAGAATGCTGCGAGTGCAAAGAATTATGTTGGCAACGAATTTGGGAATGTTAGTTTGGCTCACAGTTCTTGCTTGTACTGGAACCTACATTAATATGGAAGGTTCTGTTCTTTGCACTAAAAAAACACGTGAAACACAAAATATAAGTTGACAGTCACTCTCAATCAAAATCAAGAAGTCTGGCTTAAAATGTAAACAAAATTTGGTGGTTAACTGTCTGTTATCATTAATTTGCACATTCTCCATCACAATGCCTCTACCAAAGGTGTCCACTTGCTAAGTGTTCAGCACTCTCCTCTCATATACTATAAATGTTGTTTTCCTTTCACTTTGCTAATTCTTGCGAATTGCCCTGATGAGCACAAGTTGAAAAGCTTTGACTAAGCTTTTTCTGAAGAAGGGTCTAGACCCGAAACGTCAGTTTTCCTGCTCCTCTGATGCTGCTTGGCCTGCTGTGTTCATCCAGCTCTACACCTTGTTATCTTTGAACTAAGTGTGTCTTTTTTCTCAATACTCAGTTTTTGTATGACTAAACAACTATAAATACAGTTAATATAAATACCACAACTAAAAATGCAATTTTGGTGATGACATCCAAACCATATATAGGGCCCATTTTCTTTAAAACAGAAACATTACCAGTGACTTAACCTCTCTTGATTTTTTTCAGAAATAGTGAAATAAAAATTGAAAATATTACAAATATACAAGTGCTGGTTCTCAAACTCCATAAAAAGGGATAAGGCCATGCTGTTGGTGGGAGAACTTCGTCACCAGCAGCCAAATCAAATTCATTCATAGTTTCTGCCCATGAAGTTTGAACCATTCATTTTTACGATCAGAAACTTATGGCATTACTTTTTGAATTGTGATTCACACTACCACTGAACAAAGTTCTCTACTGGAAGCATGGATTCATAAAAATACAATAGGTGGCTCTACACATGAAATATCAGCCTGCTGTGCATTTTCAGCATTCTGATTTTTACTTACAATTCTTCATTTGCCTTTTATCATTGCTGGATTAAATATTAAGACTGTAAGAAATAGGAACAGTAGGCTGTTCGCCCTTTGACATTGCTCCCCCATTCAATAGGATCATGGCTGATCTGATATTCCTCACTGATTCTCTGAATGATCAAAAATCCACCTATCTCAGCCTTAAATATACACATGGACCCTGCCACCAAAGCTCTCCGTGGCAAAGAGTTCCAAAGGTGCACAAACCTCTAACAGAAAAAATTCCTCTTCATCTCAGTCTTAAAAAGGTGCCTCTTTATTCTGAGACTAAGCCCTCTGAATCTCCCATGAGGAGAAACATCTCCTTGGCATTTATCCTGTCAAGCATGTTAAGAATCTTCTGTGTATCAATGAGATCACCTCTCATTCTTCTAAACTCCAATGAGCAAAGTCCCAACCTGTTTAGCCTTCGCTCATAAGACAATCATTCCATAGTGGGGATCATCCTAGTATTCATTCTCTGACCCTCCTATAAAATAATATCTTTCCTAAAACAAGGGGACCAACCCTGCTCAAAGTATTTCAGATATTCCAGAGCAGGACTCCAAACATTTCGGTTATTATGACATATGGTCAATCGCCACAGAAGCAATAATTTGGAAGGTGCTCGAGATAGATGGTCCAACAATTCTTTCAGGGATATAATTATATTATGTAATAACACTCAGGAGGCTTTACCTGTGAGCGTGATTAAGAGCTAGGTCTGGTCTTCTCATGCGCAGGTAGCAGGTCACAAGTTTAGTTTCGATAAAACTGGCAATACTTGAAATCTTTTCATAAGATGCATAAAATGGGTTTCCTAGAACTGCTCCTTTACTACAAAGCTATGCAAAGCAAAAGGATATACAGAGTTTATATTAGCAATTGCAATATAGGAAGAACTATAATTATTAATAATTACTCCAACTCTATAAGACAATTTAATCTTTTCCTTTCAAATTCACAGACAGTACAATGCAAATCAAAACAAGTTGCAAAGCCATACTTAGATTGATCAGTAAAATAGTCTGACTTCAGTATTCTGTCCAGTTCTGGTGAAAGAGACTGAACAACAAGACCAGTTTGTTTATGAACAAACAAAATAGGAGCATGAATAGACCATGGTCCCTTGAGCTTTCTCTGTTAGTCAATAAGATCATGGTTGATTTGATTACAGGGAGTCCTTACTTAAAGTTGAGGTTGTGTTCCTGCAAAATTTTGACGTTAAGTGAAAAAACCAAGTGAAATGTGGGTTTCCCATGGAATCAGTGCCAAATCCAGAAATTGATTCCTTAGTGCATTTTTTGCCTGTAAAAATAATGTAAAAGTTGAAATACCATACCATAATACATGGGTGACATTGTGCATTCTTAGCTGAAGTAATTTATAAATCAAGATAAATTACTGAATTTAACAGATTAACTGTGTGAACTTAAATTAACCAACACTCACCAATCTTTCTTAAGCAAATCCTCTGTCTTGGAGATGACTTGCTTTCACTCTGGGTGATGGGTTCCGGGATGGCTGACAGGTCCAGTGTGCAAACTGCAGACTCTTTCATGTGTGAGCAGATGTTGCTTGGAAGGTTAGTGTCTCTTTGTGTTTGTGTCATCCCAATGGAACTTCACCCAGTTTAGTTGGTCACCAGGAACTGCGGGAGATATTTGACCTATTCAGAAATGCTTCAGGACGTCCCAAAGGTAATTCAGTGGAGATGGCTTTGAGTGATTTAGAGCGTGGATGTTGGGTATACTGGCTACAAGGAAAACCTTTCTTCTCACTGGATTTTAAGGATCTTTTGAGGACACCACTGGTTTTGAGTTGAAGGTAGCATGTAACAGCAAAGTCTTCGTAGATTTAATGGGATGAAAGATCAGGATCACAAACAGCCTTGGAAAATGTATCCAAGGACTGTAGGACAGTTCTCTTTTTCTATTCCTGATATACCTCCTTCTAAGTGTTAAAAGTCTTACTGGTTCTTTTGTTCACTCTGGCACAGCATTCTCTGTTCAGGTCATTCTCTGTGACAACTTCTAGCACCTCATCCATGAATTGAAAAATTCTTGCCTGTTGCCTTTGTCAAAATTTGAGTGGATGCAATTTCAGTGTATACCACCCCTTCAGCTTGCCAATTTTCAACACATTATGTTCTTGTTAGGCAATTACGCTCCAAGTAATGCAAGTAATTCCACCACATCAACCTCAGTAAATGGGCATCACTCTATCTTGAAACAGTAGCCACTATTTCTAGATTCACCCATAAGAGGAAATGTTCTTTCCATGTGCAACTTGTCAAGATCCCTCAGGATTTTAGCTATTTCAATCAAGTCAACTTTTACTTTTCTAAACTCCGATGGATACAAGCCCACCAGGTAAAACCTTTCCCCATAAGACAACCTGCTATTTCCACATATTAATCTAATAAATCTTCTCTCAACTATTTCTAATGCATTTACATTCTTTCTTAAAAGGTAAACCAATAATGTACATATTGTTTCAAATGTGGTTTCACCAATGTCATGTATAACTGAAGTATAACTTCCCTACTTTTGTATTCACTTCCCCTCACCATCAGTGCTAATATTCTTTTGGCTTTCTTAACTTCTTGCTATACCAGCATATTCACCTTTAGCAATTCATACACGAGTACACTCAAATCCATCTAGATCTTGATTTAGACAGCACTTTTATGATTTAGGTAGCACCTTTAATATGTTAAAATCCCCAAAAGGTGCTTCACTTGAACAATTATCAATCAAAATTTGACACCAAGTCACATGAAGAGATGTTAGTACAGATAAGCAAAACCTTGGTGAAAAGGTTAAGTATTAAGGGAAGGGGAGGAGTGGAATGCAGATACAACAGTTTGGGAGGGAATTCCAGAGTTTAAGGTCAAGGTAGCTGCATCTGAAACAGTGGAATGAAGAAAATTGGCGACATGCCAGGGACCTGAATTAAAAGAATGCAGAATCACATAAAGCTCTACAGCTTTAAGAGGTAACAGATAGACTAAGTGTGCCAAGGCTACTGTGAGGTTTAAATGTATGAGAATTTTGAAATCAAAGTGTTGCTCGACTAGGAAGAGGAAAGGTGAACAGAACATGATGTGAATTAGGACATGGGCATTAGAGTTTTGGGTAAGATCAAGATTTTGGATAAGCTCAAGCGTGATGGGTTGCTGGTTTGCAGCACTGCAGTAATTATATCTAGAGTTAAGATCATAAACGATTCAGCAGCAGATGAACTGAGGTGGGAGTGTAAATGTGCGATATGGAGACAGAAGCAGGCAACCTTTATGATTTAGAGGATATGCGGCTGAAAGCTCAGTAGAGTCAAATGAATGCCAATATTGCAAACAATATAATGATTGGAACAGACAAATCTTTGAACATTTGATTTAGTGTGTCAAGAGTTGTTCTCAAACTGATGTCCAAGTTTTGAGTTACACTGACACTTCTGAAGCTGCTTCATACTTATGCAATCATAGCAGCATTACTGTGCCATTATTAATCCAGCCGGTTTATTCTGTGAATGAGAGCTCTAAAACATTTGCTTGAGTATTCATCAGATGGAATCAAACATTTTATCCATGCTGAATGGACTACTATTTATGAGGAGCCATAGTCCCAAAAGGGCCATAGGCATCACTCTCCATTAGAAAGAAACAATTGGTTTTATATAGCTTAAGGGTAACCACTCCACAATCATGGGGTAAGATGAGGAGGCTGGCATCTACCACAGCTGGTGCAGGGATTAAACCTGCATTGTTTGCTTTTATTCCGTACCATGCTCTGGTCATCTACCAACTGAGGTAACCGATCCCCTGAGTCGAGTGCATACAAATCAATAAAACATCAGTCAAAATCCATTAATATAATAATGAAGAATATAAAAGCATACAGGCAATTAGCAGAAAATAGGAATAGAGTATATCGGTACAGTTGGAGAGATAATCCCATGAAAGATATGATGATCTGAATGGTCTTTTTTCCTGCTAAGTTTCTACTGATCAATGGGTAACATAGCAGCTTCTGTGGTCAGCATATTGTCTGGTATTTACTGTGTGCCATAATACTGTATTTTTTGAATACCATACTGTTATAGTATGTTATATACTTCAGACACTTTGTACTATTTTTAATGAGTGCAAAGGACACAGGGAGTGATTTGTATACTCTATCCAATTTTCTCTTCCATTCACCATACAAAATGAGTAAGCTATTCCATATTGCTCATTTTCTTGTGCCAAGCTATCATGTAATTATTAGGCTTTTTATGATTTATACTGGATGCAAATGCTTCTTGGTCACTTCAAATGGTGGATTAATGAGACTTCAAATGGGTAGAAACATCAGCTTACTTTTTACCTTTTATTAGCACAATACTGCAAACCAATGCATTGGTATCAATTCATCAGAGGACTTCAGTGTTTCAACATTTCATGCATTTGGTACAACAAGATCTTGATTTTATTGTCACATGCATTTTACAGTTACAACAGAATATGAACTATTTCTATCGATCTATTTGTGTATGAATGATAGTTAAAGAAAATTAAACTTAAATTTTCAAAATTTAAGTATATGTGTGAGTTTGCCGTTTACCTTGGGCTCTAATTGTTAAACTTAATTTATGTTTACTTTATACATTGGTATAGTCAAATGAGATTGGTTAAGATACTTGGCAGTAACTTGAGTTGAGCAAAATGGACACTAACATGTGGACATTTTTGGACCAAACTTGTTAACTGTTTTAAAGGAGGAAATACTAGGCCTCAATCTAACACGGAATTTGATTTAATTTGCAGCTCAATTTAGAGTGCTGAACATAGTCCAGTTCCAAAAGCAGATGTTCTAAAGCACAAGCTTAAATGACATTTTACATCAATTTATATATGTGTCAGTCTTCATACATGCACTGACAACACACAGCTCTACTTCACCATCACTTCTCTCAATACGTTCGCCCTATCCGTTTATTTGACATTCAGTACTGGATGACCATAAATTTTCTCCAAATAGATATTGGGAAGATTGAAGCCACTGTCTTTGCTGCCCTGATATACTCTGTTCCATAGCCAATAATTTTATCACCCTCTGGCAGAACCAGACTGTGACGAACGCAAAATGACTTTCAACCACATATGAGCACCATCAGTAACATTGCCCATTTCCACTGTTGTTTCAGCTCATCTGCTGCTGGAATTCTCACTCATACCTTTCTTAACTCTATATCTGACTATTCTAATGCACTTTCCACATTCCCTGCATACTTCCACTTTCCACGCTCCCTGTACAAAACTATTTCAGCAACTGTGCTGCTGAAATCCTGCTCATCTACGATCCCTGTGTTCACTGACCCAACTGTGATTAGATGGGCTGATGGGCCAAGGAGTGGCAGATGGAGTGTAATCTACATAAATGTGAGGTGCGACATTTTGGTAGGGAAATCAGAGCAGGACTTATATACTTAATGGTAAGGCCCTGAGGAGTACTGCCAAACAAAGGGACTTTGAGGTACAGGTTCATAGTTCCTTGAAAGTGGAGTCACAGGTAGACAGGGTAGTGTACAAGGCGTCTGGTACACTTGCCTTCATTGGTCAGTGCATAGAGTATAGGAGCTGGGAGGTCATGTTGCAACTGTCCAGGACACTGGGTATGCTGTTTTTGGAATATTGCATTCAATTCTAGTCTTCTTGCTATTGGAAGAATGGTGTTATAACTTGAAAGGGTTCAGGAAAGATTTACAAAGACATTGCCAGGGTTGGAGGGTTGAGCTACAGGGAAACGCTAAATAGGCTGGGGCTATTTTCTCTGGAGTGTCAGAGGCTGAGGGGTGACCTTAA